AGAGGGCAAGAGAGAAGGTCAGGGAGGGGCAAGACCAGGCCAGGCCGGGGTCAGAAGGGACAGAGACAGTGTTAGGGAGGCAGAGGGTGGGAGAGCAGGCTGGCCCCGGCTCTGGCTCCTGTGTTTGCTGTTGAAGGACACTGGGTGGGAACGGGCTGGATCTCACCCTGTTTCTGTGTTGGATGCTGGCAAATAGGACACTGCTCAGTTCCTGATCCTCTGAGACGTGAGGAGGGGTAGAGCTAGCCTGAAGCTCCGTGGCCTGGAGCTGTCTGCTGCCACATTTTCCATTTTCCTTGGGAGGCCGAGGCAGGAGGGTGACAAGTTCAAAGCCTGTCTGGGCTACAGGGTGCATCCAAGGCTAGCCCATGCAGTTCAGTGAGAACTCAAAGTAAAAATTAGAAAAAGGGGCTGGAGAGAGGTTAGGAGCACTTGCTGCTCTTACGGAGGACCCTCAGGAAGGCCTACAGCCATCCACACTTCCAGTGCTGAGGATCCAGTGCCCTGTTCCGGCCTCTGTCAGCACCACGTATATGCAGGCTGGAAATTTACGTGTGTACACACGTACAATAAAATTTAAATGAAAAACAGTACCAAATGTGATGGGCTATAGCCCCGTGGTAAAATGCTTATCTGGTGCACTCAAGGTCAAAGGGCCACTCCACAGTGACTCCATACACGCTCACACTCATCACTCACACAAACACTACACACACTTACACACCCCACACACCACCACATTCTCTCTCTCTCTCACACACACACTCACCACCACATTCTCCCTCTCTCTCTCTCTCTCTCTCTCTCTCTCTCACACACACACACACACACTCAGCACAGGGTTGAAGAGGAGGCTCAGTGTGACTCTTTTAAAGGACACAGGTCCCTAGGTGTCTCTCTCTCTCTCTCTCTCTCTCTCTCTCTCTCTCTCTCTCTCACACACACACACACACACACACACACACACACAGCAAAGGGTTGAAGAGGAGGCTCAGTGTGACTCTTTTAAAGGACACAGGTCCCTGGGTTTGCTCTCCAGTACAGCAAAAAGGAAGTAAATGAAAATGAGGTCAAAGTAGAGCACATGGATGGGGCTGGAGAGGTGGCCCAGAGGTTAGGAGCCCTGGCTGCTCTTCCAGAGGACCCAGGTTCAATTCACAGCACCCTCGTGGAGGCTCACAGCTGTTTCTAACTCTCATTCCAGGAAGGTCCAGAGCCCTCTTGTGGCCTCTACAGGCACAGCATACATGTATGCACATATGTACACAAAGATACAACTTTCCTACATAAAAGTAAATAAATCCGAAAGTATTTTAGTAGAGCATGTGTAATTATGCACAGTACAGAATCCTTGAGAGCGGCAGAGTTATTCGTTTGTGTGCTTCGTGTCTTACTTTTTATTATTACCTCATAGCACACTATTGACTAAAAAGTAGCTATTGCAGCTGTATGATGACTTCTGGAACATACCCAGACATTAAGCGACGCGTGGCCACATAGAGAGGAGTCACGGGCAGTGTGATGGTTGATCTTGTCAGCTGGGCGGGATTTGGTGTCTCCGTGGAAACACGCCTCTGGGCAGGTCTAGACTGCATTTCTGGAAAGGTTTAACTGCGAGGGCTCACCCTGGCTGTGGGTGGCACCGTCCCATGGCAAGGATCTTGGGCAGAATAAAGAGGAGGAGGCAGGCTGGGCCCTCACAGCACTCTGACTACAGGCTCAGCGAGACAAACCCTCCATCTCCTGCCTTTCCTGCAGCGAGCCTTCCCACTGTGGTGGGCTGTATCCCCTCAAACCAAAAGCCGGGATGAACCCTTCCTCCTCGGCTTTTTCTTGTTGTGTGTTAAGTCTCAGTGATGGGGAAAGGAACTGTGTTGGTTACTTTCTGTTGATGAGGCAACCTACAGGTTTATTTCCAGCCTCGAGTTCCAGATAGTTAAAATCCATCAATGCCATGGCGGCAGACACCAGGCATGGCGGCAGACACAGCGGAGAGCTCACATCTCCAACCATGTCACCCCCAGTGACACACTTCCTCCAGCAAGGCCATGCCTAAGCGTTTCATTTACTTTCTCCCTCCACAGCACCAACTAGAAACTAAGTGTTCAAATAACCAGGAACAGGGGGCCATCTCATTCAAACAACCACCGTAACCAATGCAGACAGCGACACCCAAGCTCTCGGGGCCAATATGCCATCTTCAGGCTGCAGCTGGCCGACACTGCTGCCACCTATCGGGCCTGTAACCACGGCCGGCCACCAGCTCTCCTGTGTGCCAAGTCCTGGAATGAAGGAACCTTCCAAAGGAAAAGACCAAGCCCACGGTCTCCTAGAAGACCACCACGATGGCTCAGAGGTGAAGGCTCTTGCCACCAAGCTTAGCTCCCTGAGTTTGATCCACGGAAGTCACATGGCAAGAACTGACTCCCACAAGTTAAACTCTGACCTTCACGCGGCCATCATGACACACACATTACAATTAGTAGATCAATGCAATGAAAGTCTTTAACGCATGATCGTTCCGTGTTAAAGAACACAGAATTGGGGGGGAGAGATGCTCAGTGGTTAAGGGCACTAACTGTTCTTCCAGAGGTCTTCACAGATTGGGGACAGAGTGGGAAGCTCCCTGCCTTTGGTTGGTGTGGACATGGCTTGGGCTGTGACCCTGAGGAACCCAGGGCTTCTCCTGGCCAAACCCTCACTGCAGATTGGTTCAGTGGCTCTGTCCCGGGTGAGGCCCTGTGCTGCAGAGAAGAGAATCACAGGACTGGAGAGGTGGCTCAGAGGTTAGGAGCACTGGCTGCTCTTCTGGAGCTCCTGAGTTCAATTCTCAGCAACCACGTGGTGGCTCATAACCATCTATAATGAGATCTGGTGTCCTCTTCTGGTGTGCAGGCACACATGCAGGCAGAATACTCTATACATAATAAATAAATAAATCTTTAAAAAAACCATAGAAAACGAAGCTTAAAAATGAAGATGCAGGCAAGGCGGGGTGGCACGAGGCGGAGGCAGAGCTCACTCCCTGAGCTTGAGGCCAGCCTGGCCTCTACAAGGTGAGTCCAAGGACAGTCAAGGCCACACAGAGAAACCCTGACGAAAAACAAAAACCAGACAAAATGAACATGGTGTCACTTCCAAGTAAAAATGTGGACAGATAGTGCTCACTGCTCTTCCAGAGGACCTGGGCTCAGTTCCCAGCTCACACCCACCTGTAACTCCAGTCTTAGGGGGGATAGGGTGCCCTCTTCTGGCCTCCTGGGGCACGTGGTCCTCCTGCTTCACTTCAGCATGCCATGTGCTGGAATCACTGTGTGTGTGTGTGTGTGTGTGTGTGTGTGTGTGTGTGTGTGTGTGTGATGTTGAGAAACCATGGGATGGGGGAGTGCTTGAGGTGGAATCTTACTCAGATGTTGAGTTTCAGCCTGAAGATTAAGGACCCGTGCAAACTGCAAATGAGAGGATTTGGGGCTGAGGGGAAATCCCTCGCTGCTTCAGTACTAGGCAGGTTATGGCAAATATCTCCCTGCCTTCCCTAGCATTCAAAAAGCCCAGTGGTGTGTGGGGATCCAGACCGGCGCCTTCCCCTGTGTCCTGCTACCCCCTGGCGGCCATGCGCGGCATCGCGGCCGCCAAGCGTCCTGGGGACGGCCTGGGCGAAGTTAAATGTCTGGGCAGACTGCAGAGTTCCCCAGCTGCTGCGGGGTTCTCCGAGGCTGTCCGGGCCACACTGAAGTACTGGGCATCGCCTGCACAACCCCGCATGTCAGAGAGGAGCGTTAGTTTTTCTCTTGCTGTTGCTATTGCCCGGGATTTGACACAGGGCTTCCTGCCAGCTCAGCAGGTCCTGAGCCACACCCCAGCCCCACTAGCTGAGTAAGGGCCCCGCCGTCTTTGGGAATGCCTTTAGCCCCAGCCCTCAGGATGCAGAGGCAGGTGGATCTCTGACTTGCTGGTCCAGAACAGCCAGGGCTAGACGCTGAAAGCAGAAGAGCAGCATCCCCAAGGCTGACACTTGGAAGGGGTGGGGTAGCTAGGTAAGGGGTAGCAAGTGAGAAAGGACCATGGATTCCCAGGACTGGGCCTGAGGTGAGCTCGAGGACCCCAGCACCGGGAAGGCCTCAGGGAAACTGGGAGCTAGATGGAGTCTGGGGAAACCTGGAAGCAGAGGAAGGGGGACAATGGCTCTAGGTCTGTCAGGACAGGACTCTGACTGACCCTGAGACGTACGACCCAACCAAGAGCGGCTTTTAAAGTCTTCCTTCCTTCCTTCCTTCCTTCCTTCCTTCCTTCCTTCCTTCCTT